GCCCTATTTTGTTTATTTTTCTTAAATTTAATGAAAGATAAATGAAAATATATAAAAAAAAAATTTTAAATTTTGAAGTTAATTTATTTTAGTTCAATATGGCCACCTCTAGCATGAATTATGGCCTTTAAACGGCTAATAAAGCTATCGTACGCTGCTTCAGGCGCTTGCTTCAGGCGATCAATATTTTGATATTTTTTATTGCTAAGCTTACTTTTTAAAACACCCCAGACTGAAAAATCTAAAGGGTTACAATCAGGTGAACACGGTGACCCCTATGTTGATGTAATAAAGCACGAAACGTTGTTATTCAGTCATTCTTGATTGACACGTGCTGAGTCATGTTGTATTGTCCAACGCCTATAACTGAAATTCTCATATGCACAGGGCTTTTGTGCTTCCTCTAAATGGGAGAGATCATACACTTTATTGAACCTTGATGGCTATAGTCCGAGCAGATTTTTCAAAATGTTTTGCATCCTTTTTGCTATACGTTCAGCTTCTTTGTCATTTTATTGCACCTATTGTGTGGGCTTCGCTCAATTTGTTTCTTCACTTTACGAATTATTTCTGGTGTTGTTACAGTCCACATCCTGTGCGTCGGGCAACGCTACCAGTATCACGGTATCGAGCTATGGCACGAGACACAAATGATTTGATCACATTAAGGTGTTGGAGGGCTTAACCACTTGTTTTTCCAGTCAAATATGAAGCAATCACACTATAATGTTTGTACTCCATCGCATACAACTTCTTTCCTACAAAACAAAAATCAAAATGCCTTCATATGTTTGTAAACAAGACAATGAATTGTCAAATGAATTAATTTCGAGCTTTGAGATATTATTTGTTTAATAGCTAGATCGGAGCGAAGTTTGTTGTAATTTTCATTAGCTATCTTATATATACATTTGATAGTACAATATAACATAAAGCTCAAATAGATAATCTGTTAGGAAAATTAATTTATTAATTAATACTGTGAATGAAGCGCTTTGAATTGAGTCCTTAGTGGATAATTCTATGGAATAAAGTTATCTCTTTTTCATATTATTTTTTATACTCTAAACACTGTAGCGAATGAAATCTGTTTGTCTCAATATATTCTTGATCAGCTTGTCTGTCTGTCTATTAATATGATCACTTTATAATATTACCACTTAGTACATCGTTACATGAAATATTAGCATGTATTTATTGTTTGTTAGCATACACAATATAATTATTAAAATACATAGAGAATTGCGTTTTATACATAATACAATTCTCATTATGTTTAGTTTTGATTTAGAATAAAATGAAACACTTTTAATTTGACTTCTATATTATTTTAATACAACTGTAATTGACTTAATCTTTAAAAAGTAAAATATTTTATTTTCAGGTTTTTAAGAGAAAATTGAATCGGCGTTAGTATATTATATAGTGTTGATATTCAATCGTAAACCTTTCAATTTTTTTTTTAGTAAAGGCATTATATTTTTAGTCAAATTTCATTGAAAATTTTTATAGCGGTTAAAAAAATAGGCTTTGCTTGTGCGCTTATATTGACTGTTAAAGGATATAATGATCCTGTTCCGATAGTTGTGACGTCTCATAAAGCGATTATGTGTAAAAGGTTGTTTCATCGAGATAACCAGAAATGTAAGCAGTTACTGATATCCATTAGCATTGCAAATATCTTAGCGTATTCGATTTACCTATTTCTACTATAAAAAGTAGTCATTTTCTTATGTTTTTATACTAAACTATATACACTAACAGTACATTTCAAATCCGTATATATATTCAGTTCGAAGTTAATAGAACTTTGCTTTAAAAAACTTTAATTAAACATGGACCCAGATTTATTTCTATGAATTTAATATTATAAACTTAGAATTTGGAGCATTCACTAATTAATAACGCAACCGAATGTCTTAGATTAGTTTGTGTTGTATCTGTGATACTGTGTCTCTATTATGTTACCATATAAAATTTAAGGGATTGGATATCATCCGGAACTTTTCACAAAGTATATGATGTTTTTCAAGGAGGGATTCCGCTGTTGACTGATATTCTATAAAAAAAAAGTTTCTAACAGGCTTTATCTACATTGCAAACGCGCTGGTGGTCTGGACCACTGTATTCGTCCTTTTTACAGTTATTAAACAAAAGACTAAATCTTTAAGAATGGTATCCTAATATGAAGTTGTTGATGTTTCTGTGTAAGTACTCCTGCCGACAGTTAAAATCTTAGTTCTTTAAACGAAATCCGACAAAGCATTCGATTTGAAAATATTCAGATTACTTTTTTCCTCTCAATTCCGATAAACTTAACTTCTTTCAGATTGGCGCAAAGATACAATAATTTTCCCACTTCTTTAAACTTTTCGATCATGCTATCAAGAGAAGTAAAAACCCGCACTTCTTTAAATTGAGTTTGTTTATTAGAAAATTTGTGTTATCTTTCGGGTTTTTTCTTATTGTTTTTGTTGTACATAAGTTAATTTTAATATATATTATCGTAGCTTCAATTATTAGGTCATTTAATTTTAACTGCATGTATGGTTACTGATCTTTGTTAAGAGTTTGCATGTGCTGATTTTATGGTTTAATAAATCCCATGAAGAGGAATCTTGAGATACCAGTGGTTTTCCAATTAATATTCAGAGGAAACGTATATATAAGCACAATGAATAATATAATTTTTTCATTTGTTCAAAAACATTTAAGATAAAAATTTCTAAAAATAAATTACTGTGAAGTTATTATAAATATAATTCATAACCGCAATTGTTCCCAAAATATATATACTAAAAGTTCCATGAAATATGCCAAAAAAATTAATTTTGATTCTCAGAAAACTAAGCAATGATCACTTAAAATATCGAAGTCTAACCCTGAATAATTTTATCAAAATCTAGATTTCATGTTAAAAAAACATTAAAGTTTCATTAATAAATTTAAATGCTTCATTTATGAGATTAGCGGACTGGTCACTAACCCAATACAAAGTACACAAAACAGAAAACCTGAGTCATAAGTCTATGTAGAGAGGGATTAGTGATATTTTGTAGTCTAACTAGAATTAACCTGATATAAAACTATTTACTATATAAAAATAAAAGTATTCCACTCAACTCCTACTAAAGGAATTTGTGGTAGGCACCGATAACTATTTAGAAATCAATACACAATCTATTGGAAACAATAGTTCTGAATAAATTAACTTGATGGAATGCTAGTCAGTATCTGAAGCATTTTTACTCAATAGAGACTGTGACTACTTGGAAGATTCACTGTAACATAATGAGTTATTTTGGTGATTTTACAGTAGTTTGAAGCGCAGCATATCTACTTGATAGAATATACATACCTATGTATATTCCATTTGCTTTAAGAGATTCTAGTTCTGAATTAGTGTGAGCATCCACAAATTTCAATAACTTCAGCGTTCTGTCTTTAATTTACTTTTGCATACTCTCAACTTTCACTCTTTCTATATATCTTCATTACTGATATACCATGCAGTCCTTAGCATACGTCTTAATACAATATTTTGATAAGTTTAAGGTGAATGGAATAGAGTTTTATTTTTCAGACTCAACTTTCCTTATATTAATGGTTTCAGAGCATTCAAAGTTATATTACAAGTTATTTTTTTGACCCTTATATTCTTTAACCAATTGTGTTTTCTGTAGATACGTTAAGGATCGGTGTTTAAGCGCAGTAAAAAACAGGTTTACTAAAAACTTTAGGACGTACTAAATAGTGCACAAGAACCAATGGTGCCGCTACAACCTTCTTCGCCGCTCAAATGCCGAACATTGGTAGTGTGCGTTTTTTGCCGATCATATGTATTAGACTTGGTTGGTTGCTGTGGAAGCTCAACAGATAACTCTCCATGTACCTCAATTATCGATTTTACCATATTCCTCACAAGAACCCCTAAGATAGAAGAATGTAGACTAAATCCATCCAGCCGAATTTTTAGGTCTTTTAACTTTACCAATAAAGTCTGATAATCTGTCAAATAAATATCTTCCTAAAAACCTATTTCTTCTATGCGCCAAAGCCAGGCATTCAGAGAGAAAATGTTTAATTGTTGTTTCTTTCCTGTAGGTTTCCACAATTTCTGCAGTGAATAATATGAGGAATGAACAGTATACTGTACACCAATGACCAGAAGGAACTGCAGTAAGCCTTGCAGTGTTCACACAATCCCTTTTGATAAGTTCCTAAGATCTAGTTTTATTATGGGTGGGACTAAAAAGGTTACTGCTTAAAGGATTTTTTATGTAAAGTATGGCAGTAAATTATTGTGTCTAGACTTATTAGTATATACATATATCATGTGTAGTATAAATATACATTTATATGTATATCATATACACTATTTGTTATTAAATTTAAACACTAGAAAAAAAATTAGACAATATTTATAATAACTTATAAAATTGGAATCTGATTTTGGTATGCAAAAATATTCTTTGGGTTTCTAATATCTAAGTTTCTTTATTTTCATTGATCAATAAAATGAAAATAAAAAATGGGGAATCACCAGATATTATCTTTTCTTCTGCGATTGTTGTACATTTTAATAACTTGATGAAATGATGCAAAACCAGTGAGGTGTTTCTCCCTGATCGTATGAGCAATATTTTTTCCCAATAAGATGAGATCATATTAAGATCGTTTCATTTAATTTCCAAATTAAAACCAAGAAACAAACATAATTGTTTAAACAAATTTAAGTGAAAACACTGCTTGATTATTATATTATTTTAACTTTTTATGACAAAATAAGAGCTTCATAAATGAGAACATTTCGGAAAATAGAATTACGCAAAGAACAAACTGCTTCTAGATTGTGAGTGTCTGTAGTATATGTATATGAAATGCATACGAAAATGTGTAAATCCCTTCTTGTATCTTAATTTGTTACGCTTATATTAACGATGTAGAAAAGAATATTAGTACTACTATGTTTTAAAATTAATAATATATTTTTACAGATTTTTCAATGTTTTGATTCTGAACCATAGGATTTATCAATTAAAAACATTCAAATATAGACGATGTGCTACGTTATAATTACTGGCTGTAGTCTGATTTGGTTCATATTGAGCCTCATAACGGATATGTTTATAGTATCAGCCATAGTAACACCAAAATGGCTTATAGGACCAGAAATAATCTATGGTGGACACAAATTACCAAATCAAACGTTTGTAATATCAACTATGCAAGCAAAATTCCAGTCTGTGGGCATCTATACGCGCTGCAAGTCAATGCATGATTATGGATATCATTGCGGTCCATTCGATTTGGATGGTTTTGCAACTGATGGCAATGTTTATCCGACTGAATGGAAGATAGCTATGTTTTTCATATCGTTTGGATTTGCGGTATTCTCTTTGACAGTGTTTTTGACACTTTTAACTTGTTGCAGGCAATCAGCTTTTGGTAAGAGCATACACAACATGACCGCATGTTTACAAGTAATTTCAGGTGAGCACGCTGAAATAATTATTGGATCTGTTTCTTTTATTGACATCTCACTATATTTTTAGGTATATCAGTGATGTTGACATTGTTTCTGCATCCACTTGGTTGGGGAGCGAGACGTGTGCAAATGTTATGTGGTGTTGACGCGGAACCATTTTATCCAGCTAATTGCACTATTGGTATATCGTTCTACTGTGCGGTGTCCGGAGTAATTTTGGCATTTATTTGTGCAGGCATTAGTCTTAAGGCAGAAAATTCGAATATGCGTTCACGCGTGAAAAGAAGAGTCGAGGGCGGTGAACGTTTAGTGTGTATTCCATAAAGAAACAAATCAGAATAGTATTTTAAAATTATATTTATTTTAAATATATAAGCAAATAGAATTTAGATAACGTAACAATTTTAATACATTGGCGTACTTGATAGGCACATTGCCTAGAATAAAGTTAGTACTTTAAATATATGTGTAACTACTTCTTTTTGCCTTTTCCTTTTTTCGAACTAACATCGGGAGATTCCGTTTTTGCCTTGGGTAAATAAACGCTATGATTGGTTTTTTTAAGATGTGCAAATAATTTATTCTTGGAATCGAACTTAGCATTGCATGTAGCGCAATCATGGGTGGTTGCTGCTTCAGTAACATTCTCAGTTTCTGTTATAAGCGTGGCTGTGAGATCAGTTTTTATTTCCTCAATGTTTTGCTTGTTGTCACTTGAAGCTTTTACTTGCTTTTTATTTTTTTGTTTTTTGGCGCTTTTTTTATTTGAACTATTCCAATCTTCTGTATCGCTGTTGTCTTTGTTTTCTGTATAAATAGATAAGTTGTTCAAGTCTTCTTCAATATCGGAACTGTTTGGAAGAGTACCTAAAGTGGACTTATTTGTTTTTGATTTTTTACTCTTTTTATTCTTTTTAGATTGTTTTGGTTCCTCCTCATTAGCAGAAGATAATATGGCTTCGTCTTCCTCGTGCGTTTCTATATTATCGCCATTTACTGTTTTAGGCTCTTCTTCACTAGCACAGTTAAAAGCCTCTTCTTCTTCCAACATATCTTGTTTTACACGCTCAGTGTTCTCACGATGCTTTTTACTTGATTCGTGATTTATGTAAGCGCGCTCGTTTTTAAATGATTTATTACATGCGACACAGTATAATTCTTTATAATATTCAATTTCAGTCTCTAGCTCTTCCTCAGATGCTTCCAACATGTCATCCTCATCATCCTCGTCGCTTATATCATCATTATAATGCGATTCAAGTTCTTTTAATTGCATTTCGTAGTTATCATTGAGATGTTGATTCGGTACTTGACGCATTTCTTCTAGTTCTCTTTGCCTCTTGCGTATTTGCTCCAAACGATTCTGTTCTTGTTTCTGGCGATTGAGTGCTGCACGTTCTTCAAGCTTTACTTTATACGCTTGTACACGTTTGTCTCTCTTACGTATAAATGACACCAAATTACGCACCTAAAGAAAGAAAAATAAATATGTATTATTTGTGAGAATGATAAAAGCAAGAGTTTACCTCTTCGTTCCGTTCCTTCTTAGCCTTTTGTGCAAGTTTCTTCAATTCTTTTTCAATTTCACGTAGTATGCGCCTATCTTTTATTTCTTTTATGTCATATGGACATAGCCATGTGTATGTTTTCTTGGTGCAGTACGCTTGCCAAAAAGCATAGAAAGGACCCACTACTTCCTCATAGTTACTTTGCGAATCACCAAAACTTGGTATTTCAGCCACCTTTCCTTCGTCATCCATGAACTCTGCATCTTCAGCAACGATTTTTGCAAACACTTCTCGGTAAACGGCATAGAAGCCTTTGCTGTCGTCACCATAGCCTTTGTAGCATGAGACAGTGAAATACTGGAACACGTCGAGGCAATTCTCTTCGTATTCTGAATTCTTACCACGCAGAATTTGTTCCCGGTGATTATCATACCAAGCCCGTTCATGTGAATCTGAGAGTACATCATAGGCTTGCTGTATCAGTTGGAAGCGTTCTTTGGCTTCCTCAAGATTTTGAAGATTTTTGTCTGGATGCCAACGTAAAGCCAGTTTACGATACGCGGTTTTTATATCACTATCGATTGCGTCCCTTGCAACGCCGAGCTCCTCGTAATAGCACTTCATTGTTTACGCAGTTTTTTGAAATTGCACCAAGGAACAGGTATTTTTTTTTAAATATACAACAAATTTGAGTTACATTTCATTTGCAAACGTTTAAATAAACATGTGTGAAAAACATCTGTTCTTTCACTCAATGTTGAATTCGCCTTAGTAGGGTGTATGTCAATATTTTTATTTTAAATTCCGTATTTACACGCGGCGATTTTGCCAAAAAATTAACTTAATTTCGTTGCTTGGTGAAAAAAGAAATAGTGTCAGTTTTTTATATATTTCATTATGGTTTTAATTTAAAATTTAATTTTTTTTTTTATAATTTAATGTATTTATTATAGAAAATTATATAAAATAATATGTAAAATAATATGAAATAATTATATAAAATAATTGAATTAAGGCACGCAATTTAATTTAATAAACTTGTTTTGTTATCTTGCTCTTGTTATTATATTTTGACATATATTTAAGTTAATAAGACTGTTTTTGGTTGTAATACAAGACAATTTAACAACAAACTAGTTTTAACAGAAATATCACATTTTTATAGTGTTTTTACTATTAATAACATCATAGTTATATGTTAAAAACCTTCATTTCATATATATTATTTATTATAGTTAAGCATTTCAGATTTCTAATATGTTTATTGTATACTTTTAAAACAATACGAAATCGTCATTCAAAAATTGATTAAAAAGTTGATGATATTAATTTAATTTATATAACAATAGCACGAATATAAATATCACTTTCAAGAATTCTACTTCGAATAAAAAAGGGAACAATAATGAGCAAATTTTCAGAGCGAAAATATTTTTTTATTTTTTATACAAATTAATTCTTAGGTTAACAATACCATTGTTATTAAAAAAATAATATTTCTCAACATCGGATGATTTCCAAGTTTAAAAGTAACATACAAATTAGTATTTATATATATACTATTATTTATTTACTACATAATTCACTATATAAGGAAACACCCACTTTGTAAGAGAATTAAATAAATTAACGATTCTAACTAAATCTAAATTTTATGTTCATATTCAAAAATGGATTAGAATTATTTCATTCACCTATTAGTTAGCATTGCGGCCTTATGCTCCTCTTAGGAGTTAAAGGATTTAATATATATATATATATATTAGTTAGCATAACATTTTTGTATAAACTGTTTTATAAAAAAAAATTTATTGATTAAAGTATTTTTTTAAAAGAATTTCTACGAAATATTGATAAAACGGTATAAGTTGCTTTTTCTAGAACTAGGAAGAAATATTTAATTATAAAACATGTACTTTGCACTGTAATGTAAACTACATAATAATCACAAAGTTATTTATATATTATTATTAATTATATAGTAAGTGAGTCCATGGCAGTTTAAAATTTTAATTTTATTTAATCATTTTAATTGAACATTTTAAATTTATTAAATTTCGCCAAACTAAAGCGTATACACAGCCGCTGTACAATTGCGAATAATAACTGATGTTGCAGAGTGAATGAAATAATTCATCGTTGCATACTTTGAGGCAAAAATTTCTAAATAATTATTAATTCCTAAAATTAACACAAATTAAGTTGTTTTTAAATAATTATTTATTTAACTATTAATTTAAGTTTTTATTTAAATTATTAAAAATATTGTTATTAATAAGAAGAAAATCAGTTTAAGATATTTTATTGTATTGTTTTGAACATGGTATGATGGTATTGGATCTGTAGTTTAAAAAGTCCAAATTTCCATGATATAGAACAGTTTAGTCTACATATATCATTTTACATTCCGCATTTTCGTTGAAAAGCATTGAAACTAATAGCTATAATAGTGGTGTCCTCTTCATATCATATGTAGTTAATTAATTAAAAAATAATTAATTAATAAACAACTATTCAGAATTCAGTTCAATATCTTGATCAATATTATGCATATTATTAAAAATCTTTGGGAATATAGATATCGTATGTTGAATAATAGTGGAGACGGAATGCATTCTTGCGTCACTCCTTGTGAGATAGATATTCCATCGGTCATATCACCTTTGATATTTTTATAAGATATTTGTTGCGAATACAAACTTCGTAATCTGTGGGCAGAAATTTTTAATAATATATCTTGACCTTTTTTGCGAAATTATATAAAATCTGTATAATAGTATTTTATAAAGAACTGCCAAATTTTATATTGGAGAAATTACCATCGAAATTACTGCATTTTCATCCACTTTGTATTATAATGTCTGCAGTGATTCCCAAAAATCAATCAATTGTTTATGAGACGTCACCATTTTCTTTAGGTAAAGTGATATGTATAAAAAATTTTCAAGGGATATATAACAATATAATGTAACTTTTGCTTACTTCCTTAGAAATTATAAGAAAGCATAAAAATTAAATGCAGATCGGAATACCCTCAGCTGTGGGTCTGACATTGACACCATCCTAAATAGCATATAATCAAAATTCAGGAATTTTAATTAGTCTGATTATTGTGTTTTATTTTACATAACCATGCAATGCTGGTTTCAATTCACATTCACACTCAAAGGTTAGTTGTGAATTCCAAATATTACTACTCTTAAATAAGACAAACGGCAATAGTATTGTTTATCTATTTTGAACTTAAGAGATTGATGCAATTAGAACAGTCAGAAAGTTAGCCATTATGCCCAAGGCTGAAAGGAAAAGATATTACAAGAAATTTATTTATCTGCATTGCAAATTCCTAATTTTAAAACGAATCTGAAAAGATCATGTAGAAAGTTAGTATGAACAGTGTCCATAATCTGGACATTATAAGCCAACAATCTCAATCTGGTTCTGGTAAATGCCTACCAATAACAAATTAAATGTTTTTGTTGTTAATAACCAAATATGTAATAATATCAATTGCGATCATGTAGTAGTTACCTGCGTTATGCTCTTTGGTGACACTGTAGGTTTCTTTGAGGTTTATTCATTCAATATTGTCACATAATGGCAATATTGAACAAAATTATGCAGAAAAGATGGGGAATTACACATTATTC